AATAACCTATGTTCGTATGTCGTGTTTGTATAAATATAGATAGATATATATACATATATATATATATACATATATATATATATATATATATATATATATATATATATATATATATATATATATATATATATATATATATATATATATATATATATATACATATATATATACACACACACACACACACATATATATATATATATATATATATATATATATATATATATATATATATATATATATATATATATATATATATATATATATATATATATATGGGGGGGGGCTAAAAAAATTTTTTGCGGGGTGGCCCTTTTTTTCTAGTTCCGCCACTGTAAATGACCCGCCCTCCGCTATAGGGCTGGTAAGTAGGTCCCCAACGAGTTCTACGGCTCATGTAGGTTTTATTGAGCCGTAGAACTGGTTGGTGACCTACATACCAGCCCTATATGGGCCACCCTCTACAACAAGGGCCCCCTTAAGTTAAGTGGGCAATCCTCAGCTATGTGGGTTACCCTCCTCTACACGACCCACCCTCGTCTACATGACCCACCCTCATCTACATGACCCACCCCCCACTAGATGACCCACCCTGATCTATATGACCCACCCTGATCTACATGACCAACCCTGATCTACATGACCTACCCTGATCTACATGACCCACCCTCCACTAGATGACCCACCCTCCTCTACATGACCCACCCTCCTCTACATGACCAACCCTCCACTAGATGACCCACCCTGATCTATATGACCCACCCTCAACTACATGACCCACCCTCCTTACATGACCCACCCTGATCTACATGACCCACCCTCCACTAGATGACCCACCCTCGTCTACATGACCCACCCTCCACTACATGACCCACCCTCCTCTACACGGGCCACCCTCCACTATATGACCCACCCTCCTCTACATGACCCACCCTCCACTACATGACACACCCTCCTCTACATGACCCACCCTCCTCTACATGACCCACCCTCCACTACATGGCCCACCCTCTACATGGCCCACCCTCTACATGACCCACCCTCCACTACATGACACACCCCTCCTCTACATGACCCCACCCTCCTCTACATGACCCACCCTGATCTACATGACCCACCCTCCTCTACATGACCCACCCTCCACTACATGACCCACCCTCCTCTACATAACCCACCCTCCTCTACATGACACAACCCTCCTCTACACGGGCCACCCTCCGTTACATGGCCCGAGGTCTGATACACCAGCTGCACACTCGTGTATGTTGATGGCCACCCACAAACCTGTAGACAACCTGCCGACAACCTGCCGCCAACCTGCACAATTACCTGTACGCGTGTCCCCGATTGTTAAACACCCCCGACACACATGCAGTCATTTTTACTCTGACGTCACTCAACATATTTCACAAATTGCTTCATTTTATTTTCTTGACAAAAAAAAAAAAAAAAATCCATACTGCAAATTTCGCTTCCAGTTTAAAAAAAAAAATCAACGAAGCAAAAGCATGTCATTTCAATGTCATTTCGGAGTCAATATATCTGCTTGTTGTCATTTATCAGAACGGGTCAAACGTCAGCACTGTCTGGGGCAAATTTGAACTTGGGCTAGCAGGTAGAGAAAAAAAACCACATCGATACAGATCGTTTTCAAAGTTACAAGATCTGTTTTGTTCAGTACACAATTCACACAGTCTTAACGACTGTAGCCTATACCGTGATGTTTCTAAGTTCAACTATAAAACTTCATCCAACATGGAATGAGATTGATACATTGTTTCCAATTTTCAAATGTTATTCTCAAGGTTTCTTCCAAACATTTTTTTCCTGAATAGGGTGTGGTGTGTGTGTAGGGTGGGGGTGGGGGGTAGGTTATGGAACTTTCCGGGAGGGGTATGGACACTAGCCAAAATATATGTTTTTTATATAAATATTTTTTGTCTACAACGTTCAATTCGTGGGTTCGGGAGAGGGTGGTGGGTGAAGGGGTGGGGTAGGATGTACTCAGGGCTTCTCTCGGGGGGGGGGGGGGGGGGAGGGGGTCTATGCCAGAAAGGACACTGGTTAATTTAAATATCTTGTTTACCTGTTTCTAATTTCCAGTTTAGTAAATGAAAATAAGAGGGGGAAAAGTAATACTAGTGCTAGACCTTCGATTTTATTTTGAAATGATTTCTTTTACCAGTTAGTCAAATAAATAGAGGAGATTAAATATCAAATCTACCATAGATATTGATTCTGTATCTTATACCAATGTGGTCATTCTGTAGAATAAATACAACAAAGTATCTGATACAAGATTCTTAAATCAAGTGAGCCAACAATCCTAAATTTGCGTGTAGAGATAGATTACTTTTTTTCTTCATCACAGTCGTTCAGCGAAAACAGTCCGTTCACTGAAGACGAGACTCCAATCGATGGAAAATAAAAAAGTGGAATCAAATATGAAAGGGATGAGCTATGTGGTTGAACTGTCACGTGGTCTATTGACACCCCATGACGATCCTGTTTGCGCATGTCTGGTAACCCTGAAGTTCAACACAAGAAGATGACAGGGGTAAACTCAGGGTGGCGATAGGGACTGGGTGTGGTGAAAGGTCTAAGGGGACGGGGGATAAACGGAGGCGACTTGATTGAGTCTCGGGTTTTTTGTGTATGTGTCCGTGGAAAAATGGGCATCGGCCTGTGTTTGCTAGACTGAGATGTGTGTGTGTGGGGGGGGGGGGGGGAGCATGTTTTAATTAATGAATTTTGTGTGTGTGTGGGGGGGGGGCTGTCATGATGAGTGATGATACAATGGTTTATATCATGGTACCATCACTACTTGCACTATTAATCTACTGGTACCATCTAGCTACCATCATTATACTAGTACCACAAAGCTACCATCATTATACTAGTACCATCAATCCGCCATGATTATACTAGTACCATTAATCTACCATCATAATACGAGCACCATCAATCTATTATCATTTAATTAGTATCACCCATCTATCACCAAACTACCATCATTATACTAGTAACACCAATGTACCAGCAAGCTACCTCCAATCAACCATCACTCACTGGTACCACCCATCTACCATTAATATACCATCTTTCTACTACTACCATCCATCTCTGACAATAGCCCCATCCCTTTTTAATTTCACCTGTCCTGCTCTACTTCCGCCCCAATCCTCATTAACCAGTACACAAATATACATTCCATTGTCTTTATTCTTGTTTAATATCCCCCCTCCCCCTTATCGCTAATTCTCTTAGAGATATGTTTTTCTTGAAGTAATTTAAGCCCTGGAAAAACTATAGACAAGAGTTTTTAATTACTTTCTTTCAGGGCAAGATGTGGATGTGTTCACAAACAAGAAATCATGTTGGGTTAAGACATTAAATTTTGCTTGGAGCAAGCGAGGATGGGAAGTGAGTATCTCTGTTGTAGGAGGTGTGCTGATGGTAAAAAATAAGCGTCCATTCCATTTTCTGAAATCGGTCTTCGGACAAACGGCATTCGGGCAAGTGTCCATTCGGGCATTTGTCGCATTCGGGCAAGTGTCTATTCGGGCATTTGTCGCATTCGGGCAAGTGTCTATTCGGGCATTTGTCGCATTCGGGCAAGTGTCTATTCGGGCATTTGTCGCATTCGGGCAAGTGTCTATTCGGGCATTTGTCGCATTCGGGCAAGTGTCTATTCGGGCATTTGTCGCATTCGGGCAAGTGTCTATTCGTGAAATCGGCCTCCGGACAAACGGCATTCGAGCAAGTGTCTTTCGGGAAAACGTCCGTCTTAACCCACACATTTTCACGTAATTAATCATTAATCAATCTATAATTCTTGTATAGTAGCGGGATCATAATTATAAATACCCCCTTTCCACACCCCCCCCCCCCCATCATTATCACACAACAGAGGTTAGTCTACACGAAACAAAATCATCAAAACTATTTTTTCACGCTCTCCAAAGAAACGTAACCCATTCTGACCACAGTGCTCTCCCCTGGGAATATTCTCCTTTTGTAAAAATTAGTTTCAGTTACATGCGATTGACACGCAGGTGCACCTCGATGTACACCTTATCTTGGCCTTTATTTAAAACACGGCGAGGGCATATGTTTTATTAATTAACGCTCCTATCTCAAGCCAGGGAAATTAATCTCCGACTCAGGCAAAAACTAAATTAAAAGCGAAACATGGCTTAGCAAAAAAAAAAAAAAAAAAAAAAAAAACTATATTTAAAAAAAAATAATATAAAAAAATAATAAATACCAAAAAAGATGAAATATTTTTAACTATAATTTAAAAATATGTTTGATGATCTGGTGTATAAAACATACATAAAACAAACAACGTAAACCAGTAAAAAAATTCCAAGTGATTATTTATAATTTCTTGTGTACATGATGACTAGGATTTGAGCGATAGAAAACCTGCACGCGTTTTTCCTGTGCATGAGTACTTCAAACAACCCCAGACACCCAACCGTGCCAATTAATCACGTGATATACGATAATATGAGTATGGGTTATGCCATGCACGTGTTTTTCCTACCGATAATTAACACCTCGTGTGTTACGATTTTTGGTGAGAAATTGTTTTTTTTTTAATTTTCTTAGGGAAAAGCTCCAACACTGATTGTCGTGATACGTAGCTAAAAGACTAGACATCACACGGTGTACTCCGAATAGTATATTGTATTGTAGGATGTAATCTTCCATCAACTAAACCCAGCTGTAAAAGACATTAACCTCCGACTTAAGGGTTGCACTTTAATTAACTCAACCAATTAAAGCCTATCTGATGTAAAACAAGAGTGGCTTGGTGCTGTCTTTGAAAAAATGGAGATGAAATCTTACACTTTGTGGTGAACGGAAACTGACTTGTTTAATATCTCATTTTAACGGAAGTTGAAATTCGACGATTCAGATGTTAAATTTTGTGGTCGCTAGATAAAATTCGACTTACTTTACAAAACTTCTTTCCGTTTTGATATTATCTGCAGCATACAAATCCCATCTCAGGGCAGCATACAAATCCCATCTCAGGGCAGCATACAAATCCCATCTCAGGGCAGCATACAAATCCCATCTCAGGGCAGCATACAAATCCCATCTCAGGGCAGCATACAAATCCCATCTCAGGACAGCATACAAATCCCATCTCAGGGCAACATACAAATCCCATCTCAGGGCAACATACAAATCCCATCTCAGGGCAACATACAAATCCCATCTCAGGGCAACATACAAATCCCATCTCAGGGCAACATACAAATCCCATCTCAGGGCAACATACAAATCCCATCTCAGGGCAACATACAAATCCCATCTCAGGGCAACATACAAATCCCATCTCAGGGCAACATACAAATCCCATCTCAGGGCAACATGCAAATCCCATCTCAGGGCAACATACAAATCCCATCTCAGGGCAACATACAAATCCCATCTCAGGGCAACATACAAATCCCATCTCAGGGCAACATACAAATCCCATCTCAGGGCAACATACAAATCCCATCTCAGGGCAACATACAAATCCCATCTCAGGGCAACATACAAATCCCATCTCAGGGCAACATACAAATCCCATCTCAGGGCAACATACAAATCCCATCTCAGGGCAACATACAAATCCCATCTCAGGGCAACATACAAATCCCATCTCAGGGCAACATACAAATCCCATCTCAGGGCAACATACAAATCCCATCTCAGGGCAACATACAAATCCCATCTCAGGGCAACATTCGGGGGATATCTTAATAGCTGGCACTTATCCTCTTACCACCCATCACGTGATCCTAATATACCAGTACGTATCAAGGGTATGGTATTTATCCCCCCATCTTTCATTATGTGACCCATAGATCCCATCATGTGACCGATACATCTGCTCACCCATCACGTGACCCACACATCCCATCACCCATCACGTGACCCACACATCCCATCACCCATCACGTGACCCACACATCTCATCACCCATCACGTGACCAACACATCCCATCACCCATCACTTGACCCACACAACCCATCACCCATCACGTGACCCACACATCCCATCACCCATCAAGTGACCCACACAACCCATCACCCATCAAGTGACCCACACAACCCATCACCCATCAAGTGACCCATACATCCCATCACCCATCACGTGATCCACACATACCATCACGTGACCCATACATCCCATCACCCATCACGTGACCCACACATCCCATCACCCATCACGTGATCCACACATACCATCACGTGACCCACACATCCCATCACCCATCACGTGACCCACACATCGCATCACATATCCCGTGACCCATGCATCCCATCACCCATCACGTGACCCACACATCCCATCACCCATCACGTGACCCATACATCCCATCACACTTCACGTGACCCACACATACCATCACGTGACCCACACATCCAATCCTGTCCTACCCTTACACACCAGCATCACGGACGTCACATATAAACTGTTATGGTAATTGTTTCCAATACAACTAGGTATACTGTTTACACAATCTCCCTCCAGGAGTCGGTTAGAAAGTTACCACACCCCACCCAGTCCCCGCTTAATCCCACATTACATCTATGGTTACAAAGTTACCATACCCCACCCAGTCCCCGCTTAATCCCACATTACAGCCATGGTTACAAAGTTACCATACCCACCCAGTCCCCGCTTAATCCCACATTACAGCCATGGTTACAAAGTTACCATACCCCACCAAGTCCCCGCTTAATCCCACATTACAGCTATGGTTTCAAAGTTACAATACCCCACCCAGTCCCCGCTTAATCCCACATTACAGGTATGGTTTCAAAGTTACAATACCCCACCCAGTCCCCGCTTAATCCCACATTACAGCCATGGTTACAAAGTTACCAAACCCACCCAGTCCCCGCTTAATCCCACATTACAGTTATGGTTACAAAGTTACCAAACCCCACCCAGTGCCCGCTTAATCCCACCATTACAGCTATGGTTACAAAGTTACCAAACCCACCCAGTCCCCGCTTAATCCCACATTACAGCCATGGTTACAAAGTTACCAAACCCCACCCAGTCCCCGCTTAATCCCACATTACAGCCATGGTTACAAAGTTACCAAACCCACACAGTCCCCGCTTAATCCCACATTACAGCCATGGTTACAAAGTTACCAAACCCCACCTAGTCCCCGCTTAATCCCACATTACAGCCATGGTTACAAAGTTACCAAACCCACCCAGTCCCCGCTTAATCCCACATTACATTTTTGGTTACAAAGTTACCATACCCCACGCAGTCCCCGCTTAATCCCACATTACAGCCATGGTTACAAAGTTACCAAACCCACCCAGTCCCCGCTTAATCCCACATTACATTTTTGGTTACAAAGTTACCATACCCCACGCAGTCCCCGCTTAATCCCACATTACAGCCATGGTTACAAAGTTACCAAACCCACCCAGTCCCCGCTTAATCCCACATTACAGTTATGGTTACAAAGTTACCAAACCCCACCCAGTGCCCGCTTAATCCCACCATTACAGCTATGGTTACAAAGTTACCAAACCCACCCAGTCCCCGCTTAATCCCACATTACAGCCATGGTTACAAAGTTACCAAACCCCACCCAGTCCCCGCTTAATCCCACATTACAGCCATGGTTACAAAGTTACCAAACCCACCCAGTCCCCGCTTAATCCCACATTACATTTTTGGTTACAAAGTTACCATACCCCACGCAGTCCCCGCTTAATCCCCCCCCCCCATTACAGCTATTGTTAAAAAGTTACCAAACCCCATCAAACCCCATCATTTCCTGCTTACTCCCCCACATTACATCTATAGTTCCATTAGCCTCGTTAGACAATGGATGTGCGCCCATTTCTTTCCTGATAAATTAAATATAGATAAATCTATGCATTGGACCTAAGGTCTTTTATAAAATAGAAGGAAGGGAAATCACTCAACAGTTTGTTATAGTAAGGCATATTCTTTACATAGTTTCATATAACAATACACACGCACCAGAACTGTGGGGAAGTGCCCAAATCCACAGACCGAGAAATAGAAAATGTAAAAAAAAAAACCTTTATAAAACATCACCTAAAACACCCTCAGAAAAATATCACAAAAAAAACACCACCAGAAAACATAAAAAAGCACCATTGGAAAACACTATTTGAAAACATCACTGAAACACCCTCATAAAACATCACCGAAAAAATCATCAAAAAAAACATCACCAAAAAACTCCATTAGAAAACGTTAGTAAAAACACCCTTAGAAAACCTCACCAAAACATCCTCAGAAAAAATATTATCTTCTGTGTCTTTTCAACAAACGACAAAATTTAAAAAGAACTGATAAGAGATGAATCGGCTTAAGAAAAAAAAAGACGACCAAAATAATAATAAAAAAAATATTGTCTATGTAAAGACAAATTCATCAGTTCAATGAATGTGATGGCGAGGAAAAGTTTTGTTTTGAGATAACGAAATTTATTTTACTGAAACTGATTACCTAATCCTAAATACACATTATGACCAATTATCTCCCATGAGGAAAAAATATATTTTGTACGGGGAGGTAACTGTACATACAATTTTTCCATTGATTATTAAAAGAATAAAGAATTATGAAGAACCATACTTACAACATTGATCCAAAAAAATTTATGATCTTTGCTTTTTCAATAAGTTTATAAGAAAATTATCGAAAAGTATAAAATTGTTTTAATAAAGTTTAATATGCAAAACTTCAAAACGCTTATTTCTTTATAGTATTTATAATAGAAATTAAACTGACGTTAGATTATCACATACGAAAACGAAAGATTTTAAAGAATTCAAAATTTTGGATCCCTGAAATTCAGGGACATACTAAAGCGAAGTTAACATACCACTCTCGATATCCGTTCACCCACTATTCAAATAGATACAACTCCTTTAACCTATTGAAACAATGAGTAATTAGAAAACATTATCAAAAACGCCACCAGAAAACATCACCAAATAAACCGGTAGTGATCTCCCCTAAACTTTCTCGAATATTCTTATATAAAACAACAGGGGATGGTAACTGGGGATATAGTTATGATTTTTAATCCATTTTAAATACTTAAACTTTTAAAAATAGAATAGAATCTCATAAAAAAAACATTGCGCACCAAGCAAACGCCGAATAAAAACGCGTATAATAGTGCGCAATATTATTAGTACTTTAAAAATTTACATTAGTTTTTTGAGAAATCGGAAGTAGCGTAAATTACTACTTCCAGTCAACGGAAATTACTCAAAATTTAACAGAAGGTAGAGAATTAGATCTTTTACTTACATGTGAAATTTCATTTATCTATCTGAAATAGTACTCAAGTTATAGGCTTTTGAAAAATTCAAAGTAGGAAAAGTACCACTTCCGGTTATCGGAAATCGCTCAAAAGTTGATACGGATCTACGATTTTGATAAAATACTTATATATGAAATTTCATCAACCTAGCTGTAACGGTACTCAAGTTATCGTGTTTACACACGGACAGACAGACAGACAGACACACACACACTCAGACATACGGACAAGATTGCAAAATTATGTTTTTCCGTATCAGTGATGTGTAAAACGTCGAGATTTGTAAAAATCTCGATTTTTTTTTTGCACGATTACAATACTTTCTCTATACTACGTATATACGAGAAAGTAAAAAAAAAAAAAACATCACCAAAAGCACCCTACGAAAACTGTATAAAAAACCATTAAAAACAGCGTCTCAAAAACGGTATAAAAAAACAGACCATCAAAATGTTTGAACAAAATTCTTAATGCAAATATTGAGAAATTATCAATTCATTGTATTTAATTGAGCATGTTGTGATACGGAGTATTGTAAGAAAAGCGTTCGAAAACTTTTTCATTGAAACTGGTTGAATGAAACCGTCTGATACAAATGGCTTTGACATTTATTTTTTTGTGTTTCCAACAAACACAATGGGTATATCGATAAATCATCAATTCATTGTATTTAATTGAGTAAGATGGGTAGAGATTATTGTAACAAAAAAATCATAAAAAACGTTTTAATAACAAGCTTTTATGTACTTAATGCACTAAAAAGTAGAAAATAAAATATAGACTACTATTTAAATAACTATAAAGAAAAGCGTGGGTCACTTTAGTATCTATTGGATACCTTTACTAATGTTTAGGAAGAGACCCACGCTTTTCAGGGGAGGCAACTTTAATTCAATTTTATATGAATTATTAATTAATGAAATTAAAATATGCAAAAACGAAATGTACATACAACAAAAACCAGTAATTTGCTACGCGATAAGTACAATAATTTACTAGTAAGGAACATTCGATAAGTGCAGGATTCTTTTAAAATGAACTTTTATAGATAAAATTAATATGCAAAATATAAAAACCTTTCTTTTATTACCAAACTTAGTTTAAAAATCCACTCAAATACTAGTTCTAGTTGCTGTATACTAAAAAATTAAAGCATTTAAAATTTTGGCTCCCTGAAATTTAGGGATATATATAATCAATAAGAGCACAGAATGCTATCACTCTGGCAACTTGTATGTCTGTCTGTACCCATACCACCGGCAACTTGTTGTGTGTCCCTGCTACCGTCTACTAATTGCCTACTTGTGTGTTCAGCTAATGACACCACCTCTAACAGCCCATACAGCCATCGGCAATAAATATGTTCGTACACGTGTATCAGCCGTTAGAACATAAGACAGCACATCCATATGCACAACT